GCAGGAGGCGGTGCCAAAAGGCAGGTCAGGTCAGACCAGTTTCCAGCAGCCTTCGAAGAATTTTAGATCCATCATTCATGTAGGTTTTAGACCACGTTCGGATAAATAAATAAAGTTATTGTTATCAACCAGACAATTTATGTTATCAGATTAAACCTTCATGGCACAACAGGAGAATAACAGCCTACAATCTAGTGTTAAATATAACAATTACACAGACAATTAGGATTGTTTGTGGTCAAATGTAAGTGTCAATTAATCAGGCAACAGCCAGGTGTTTCCCATCATGCCCTGGGTCTCAGTCGGTGGAGAGCCTGGCTCTAAAAACTGTGTCCATCTTGATCTTGTGAGGTTATCGTAGCCCACATGTTCATGACATCAGAGCAAGTCGGCATCAGGTTGGACACAAAGCCAACCGGCATACATTGTCCAGGGATCATTCTGCACAAGCCTGGATCATGTTGAATGTTGTCTTTGCAGTACAATCAACTCAACTCTCACACCTTGACTGCATGCATTATCTGTTGGAGTGTGGCAAGTACATAAATGTTTTGTTGAGAAATTATTATCAAACAAAAAATAATTTCATTTTGGAAAACAAACTATATTCTGTGCTCAATAAACTTATTTGACTTGACATATTTGATTTATTTGTCTTGATAGGTAGTTAGCTAGCTTACAAAATATGTTTCAGGCACTTGTGTTACTAAGTTTAAAATATTTAGTGGCTTAGTAAACGTTTTGAAGGAGCTATATTAAAGCAACATTATGTTAGATTTGGTATTTTTGCGATTTGGTGCCCCCACTAACAATACTGCTGTCGTAAAGATGGCCAACTATACACATACATCTGTTATTATTACATTACTTATGATTGATCAAAAACAAGCACAGTCAAACATCAAGCAAGTGCAGTACTGGGCAGAACGGCTAAGCTAACTGGCTAACGGCAGCTGAATTTCGCAGCAGTTACAGGAGTACAGGGCACAGAGGGGGAATGACACTGGCACCATTCACCCAATTAGAACTTATTGTAGCAAAATGATTTGTAAGATGTTATTTTAGGGTAGAAAAGTGACTTAATGTGGATTTAATGATTATAATGCCTTAAAGGTCCAGTATTTAGGGTTCTAGATGTAAAAAACGCAAAACACCCTGTCTGGAGCCAGTGTTTGGTTTGTCCGTTCTGGGCTACTGTAGAAACATGGTGGTTCAACATGGAGGATGCTGTGGAAGAAGATCTCTGTAGATAAAAACGTCACAGTAAGAAAAGCTAAACAATTCTTATTTTCAGGTGATTATACACTAATGAAAACATACCTATGAATATTATTTTCCATTTCTGCCAAAAGCTTCACCTTAATGTTACACACTGGCTAACTTACAAAGAATTTCATAAAGGTTTATAAAACTTAATATTTAACCAAAGCTTTATAAACGTCTTACCTGTAGCTTTGCTTTACATACTGTTCTCCCAGTGCTACATTCCCAGTAACTAATAATCCTGCCAGTAATAGGCCTTTTGCACAAAACAAAATATAATTTATGTGCACAAACACAATCATTGTCTATGCTACACAAGTATAATTCCAGGGTTCAACGGGAGGCATGATGGTTTATGGGAAATGTGGTTGAACATTTTATCTTATCACACCAGTGCCAATACCTCTGGCATGAAGCAGAAGCTACTAATGTAATATATTTATGGTAATTATACTAATTATATCAGATTAATGTTATAGTGATGCATTGATGTTAAAAAATATTGCATATTGAAGCTTCTACCCTGAATCAAGACCTCTCAGAAAACGTGTTCTTATAAGAACAGAGGTACAACAACACACACAAACACATACACATCTCTTTAACCCCTCCGGGGGGTAGGATCGGCCTATCAGACAGCTGAGGTAGGGTGCTGGTGGGGGGGCGAGGAATATAAATGGTGCTCCTGGTTCCACATTACTCTGTCTGAGTGGAAGATGGAGGGGGTAGACACATGGGGTGGGGTCAGGCTCAGGTGCTGAGCAGACAGGAGAAAAAAACATCCCCTCGTCCTCCTCCCTTCTGCTCTTATCTAAGTTGTTGCACCTTTTAGGCAAGCTACCTCCATCCATCTTCAGTTTGGCTAAACCTGAGAGCTACCTGGAGGCTACCTCTGTAATTCTATTACTCCCATCCCCGGGGAAGGTGGAGTATACATCACTGGTCATACTGACTAATATGTTCTTGTGAAATCAGCACACTTCCCACTGTATGCCACTTAAGTATTATCATCTCTGTCCCTGACTTAACTTCCTTTGAGATGTCTGCTTCATCAGGGACCTTGATGAATCAAGTGAACCAGGACAAAAAGGATATTTTTAGACACTCAAAAATAGACTTGTAGTCTGCAGCTCTTATAGACTCTTCGATTATTGTCAAGAGGACGTGTTTGGGGGATGTTAGCACAGATGTGTGTGTTTGCTTGCGGTGTTATTGTTTGTATATGTGTGTGTGTGTGTGTGTGGGTGTGCATGAGAGCCAGGCAGAGATGGAGAGAGTGAGTTTCCTTGCCTGTCCCTGTGGCAGCAGGTGTGTAAATAACACCCTAATAAAAATGAGGATGAATCAAAGTGCAGAGGGACCTGAACACCAGTCATCCATATACACTCCCTCCCCTCCTCTTTCGTCAAACTCCCGACATTGATCCCAGCTCATCTGCTCATCATCAACGTCCCCCAGGCTGCACAGCGCTCTCTCACTCCTCTCTGGTCTGCTGGGGCACTCGTTATAATTCTGGGTCGGTAGGCCGCAAGTGTTGCGGCATAATTTTGCCAAGTGTCCTGCTTCAATGCAGGCTGACAGCTGAACCCAAATCCACTGCTTCACTGAGCCGGATTATAGGCCAGTGTGCCTGGTTTGCCTCGTTTCCCTCACTGTTGTTACCTGTTAGCAAAATGAGCCCTGGAACTGCTGAGAAAAGTGGGATAAAATGGCCTCAAGCTAAAAGTAAATTAACTGAGGAAATCACATCCATAAGAGGGAGGACTGAAACACTAATTTGCAGTCGAGGTAAAAGAAAAGGTGGGCAGACAGTCAGTTATTTGAACTTTCACACATCACCAATTACTTCACGATGATTGCTAACTTCTCTTTGATTATGTATGTGTAGCATATACTGAGGTACTGTAAATGGTGGCAGCCTTAAAAGGTGGGAAACTAATCTGTAAATTGATTTCATTATATATGGCAGCGTTGCCACTTAGCTACAACCCCATCCTACCATGTATGGAATAACAGGCCTTTAGTATCAACTGGACCCAATGTAACTCAGGACTTGTGCTAGGTTAATCATTATCTATCCTGAGTTTGCGGCCTCTAATTAAATACAAATGTCCCACTAGACTGTCTGAATCGCATAAAAATACCCGATAACCTCACATTAGTTTAAAGCTGCATTAATTCAGTGTTAGACTACTTTGGGGTAAAGCAACAAGCTGTAAACATATTATTTTAGGGGTTTATCGGAGCTTTTTTTTTTTTATTATTGAAAACAGCTGCCTGAGATAGATAAGAGCTGTAACACCAAAAACTGAACCACGACTGTAAAGTTGTGGGCTGCAAACCTAAAACAATGAGCTGAAAGACCCTAAAACAATGCATAGAGCTGAGAAAAACTATGACCCACTTCACATTACACATAATTATTAATATTGATTTGTGCAGCTTTTAATTTACTTAAATTTACCATTCCTGCCTGCTTTACGTCACTGTTCTGGGAACCTGCCCGTTACCATCCACCTCTATTTCTGACCTACTGCTGGTCTATTACTCGCCTTAACCTGTTGGATTTGTGTGCCTGTTTAAACTCACTCCATGTTGCCACCTGTAAACCTGTTCATTTACCACAGATTGTATCACAGATTAACGCTAACACAAACGGCTCTGCTTCAGTGTCTGCATTTGGGTCCTCTTCCTCGAAAACCATACCTAACCTAATTTTGACAGCATTTGGCACCAAACTGGGGTGGCAGCTGGGATGGCCAGACATTTTTGGGGTGGTCACTGCAACCTTATACCACCCCTCTAGATCTGCCCCTGACCAGAAGCAGAGCACACTTAGAAAGCAGACTATTTAGCTTTTTTCATTAGTTGTTATGTGTCATTTTAATAAAGCTTCAAGGATGTTAATCAAGTGCAGTTTTGGAAACTGGCACATTGTGATGAGCAGGTTTCTATTTTGTTAAGTGAACAAACAAAAGGTGAAAAAAACAACATATTTGTGGCTACAGTGTACAAAATAAACCAACAATCTTCTCCATATAAGCTCTCACTGAAGGACGGGGTAATGAAATGGCCAGTTAGTTACTCGACTAATTTGCATAATAATATTAGTCGACCTTTTGGTTTGATTAGTTGGGTTTGTGTGACTTTTAGGCAACATTGAGATTAATGTTTCCACAGCGGATGTTTAGTGGTTGTTTAGACCAGAAGATTTATTAAAATAGACTTTGTGATTTGGTAGTACCATAAAACGTTGCAGCCCAATAATATTAATCAGTGGAATAGACTCATTCATTTGGAAATGAGTGGATGTTCTCCCGCTGAGCTGGTAGGATTGTATATATTTAAATCTGCATAACTGCTATAGGATACAATGTTTTTTCTTTTCATTGTGATGTATTAGATAATATTTGTCTTATTTTAATGCAGATGGAAATATGTGTGAATGTGCAGGAGTTGAACTGACGATAACTAAAAGTGTTGCTGTATGTTAAGCAGTAGTTGCTTCTAAAGTATTTAAAAACAATATATAATGTGCGTTTGGCTTCATACTCACTCACACAGATACCAATTACTTAAACAAACCACCAATGAGAGAAAAATAAAAAGCACAGCCAGTGGACATAAGGATTAACATCTGCTCAGCGTGTGTGTGTGTGTGTGTGTGTGTGTGTGTGTGTGTGTGCGCGCGCGCGCCTTACCTTGTTAACGAAGGACCCCCTCCTCTCTCCCTCTCTCTCCTCCCTCGCTCTCTCTCTCCTCCATACATCGGAGGCTGTGAGGCTGCAGCGGCGGCAGAAAGCGGTGCGGATCCCGGTGTGTGCCTATCTCTCCGGAGGGGGACCGGATAATCCAGTCGGACCCGTCAGTGGAGTGGATCTCCTCTATCTGCACACTCATAGCGAAGCCACTTTTACATTGCCACCGGCGATTGTGATTTACTCCCCACAGGTAAGGTCTTTTTGCACAAGTTTTCATCGCTCTGGGGCAATCCACACCTCTAATGAGCGTACTGACGCTGGTCTCCCACCAGCCAGTGTACACGGCAGGCTAAGGGCTCTCTTAAATACAAATTCGATCGTGTTGTTTGTGTGTTTCTTTAACTATGGGGAGCGAGGATTAGGGATAAATATCAACAGATTAACTTGGAAGTCACGTTTTAGCAGCCGACACGTTGATGAGAGTTGTCCACTCAGTTATTAGTCTTTTCCTCTCGGCGTCCACGAACGGGTCTAGAAGTTTTGATGCTCAGCAATAAGATGATTTTGTCGGCCAGTTGTCAAAACACTAAAAGAGAAGAAATATCAAATTGGATGTGTGGATGCTGAGGCGGTCGGTCGGTCTGGAAATGACTTTAGTTGACTGACTGACTGACTGTACTTTTCACAGAAGAACAATGTGTCTCAGTGGAGAGTAACTATATGTTTACGTGTGTTTTATCCTATAATAAATCTATTTTTCTACTGTTTCCATTTGGCCTGTTTGAGTCCTTTGCGACGAATCATCACAGGTGGGAAAAAACGGATAAAACGACCAGATACAAATGATCTAACGTCTTTAGAATTCATCAATTGTCTGCCGTATGAGTAAAAGTAAGTGCTCTCTGTGCCCATAATGATTCCTTTTCTTTTTGGCGCACCAGCGGCAGACTGCTCTGCGTCTTTACGCACCACGAGTTTTTGCATCGCCCCAAAAGTTTGAAATCATAACTAATAGTCGCTCTCTGTATCAGCCTCAACACCGCAACCCTACACTCATTCATCAGTTTAACTGCTCTGCCCAACGCCAGAGACGCGCTTCTCTTCAATATTCAGAATCCCGTTCAAAAACAGTGCAAATGAATTCTTATTGGCTTGTTGAGAAGTTGATAGAACATAAGTTAAGCCTTTCCTTACATAAATGTATAATAGTGTTTTATCATACACCACAAGCCATAAAAGCTGAATAAAATAGTAAAAACTTGTCAAACCTCCCTCCATAGAGATACACCCAAAGGGGTACCTAACAATGTAAAGTACTTCTAATACAGTACTTGAGTAGAGATACCAGTAGAGTGTTGCAGAAGGGCTAAAGGTTAAACTATGTACACCTGAAGTGTTCGAAATGTCAATATTTGAATTGTATTTTAGCTCTCTGCTCTATACACAAAAGGAGTTATTAAGGTTAATAGAGTTACAGTATGTGAGCTGAGCACTCTGTACCTATACCTGTGTGTGTGTGTGTGTGTGTGTGTGCGCGTGTGTGCGTGCGTGTGAGAGAGAGAAGAGGAGAGGAGAGGAGGGAGTGAAGGAGAGAGTTTTTCAAGGGTTCTTCAGTCCAGTTGTTCTTTAGAATGACTCAAACTCTTCTGTTTTAATAATACATTTTAAATAAAGAGCCCAATGGGCTCCTTAAAATGTCTTTTAATATTGAACATTTCATACTCACACAACGCTTAACTAGTTTTTAATAGCACCACAAAGGAGGCTCTGCTCTGGTACAAGCCTAGGCAGTATCTCCTGGTTCTATATAGGACCCTTGAGCTGTGTGTCCAAATCTGAAGCCCATACAAACCATAGCGCTCTACTGCAGCCTCTGGCGACCAGCGATAAGGCTCGAGGGGGCTGACTCCCACGCTGAACCCTCCGAGTGCCGTGAGGCTTTTGGGTCAGGCTCTGTGACCACTTTGATTAGGGGATAATAAACCCATTTATAGAGGGCTTTCAGGTGACGTAACTCGCCTGAGAGGAGATAAAAGCAGAGAGTTTCCCCCTAAGCTCTTATTTCTGGCTACCACCAAATATCATCACAAACGGGAGAAGAGTTTGCTCTCAGTGAATTTATGTTAATGGGTGTAAGTTAGGCTGTCTGGAAAGTGACGGTAACATTCAGAGTATAATGCGCATTGTTGGGATAAGTTAACAGTTGCTAAAGGCATATGCTTCCTGTGCAGTTAAACAGCAGGAGATACATGCTGACGGTTTAACAGGTTACATATTTGGTTACAGACAAGAAGGTGGGACAGTTTTTGTTGCTATTGATTCAACAGTAAATAATACTGACAGAATTAGTATTAACGGCTATATTTTATGATCTGTTTAATGTGCCCTCTAGCAATCGTTAACTTTGCAACTAGACAATGTTGACCTCAGGTGACTCTACGTCTCTGTAGCAACAAATCTGACTGCTTTCTCAGACCATGGGGGAACAATTTGTGTTGATGTGTTACCCCCAAAGCCTGTAATTCTTAAAGCGCTAAAAGTCTGTGGGGATAATTCAGTACAGCTCATGCTGATACACATTTGCAAAGAGCATTTCATATGTTCATTTCAGGAACTTTCAGGGGAATTGGAGTTTGGGGCTTTTGGGAACAAGAGTTCACCAGTAAAACATGCACTTTCGCTTGTAACATTACTGATCAATCAACTCAAACCACTACTACCTGTCTATGTTATACATTGGGTTATCTGGGCAGAGCTCATTTTATATTGGTCCTCCAAAATTTAAGCTAGGAGAACTGTGATCCATCTACGGAGCGATGGGAACCTGCCCCGTCAGAGACCCACACTTATTGATTATCATTGATCTTCTCTTAGGATTTATTTGGTTGTAGTAAGAGAGAGGTCCACCCAGCCTTCAAAGTGGACAGTTTGCTTAAAGAGCAAATTAAAAGGACAGAATTTCTGGATTCTCTTTGTGAACAGTTTAATACTGTGACTGTGCATGTCATTCACTTTTTTTTTGGCCTTTTATTGATAGTGACAGCTGAAGACAGACAGGATAAGGGGGGCAGAGAGAGTGGGGATGACACGCAGCAAAGGGCCACAGTTCAGATTTGAACCCAGGCCGCTGCAGCAACTCCATACATGGGCCGCCAGGTCCACCAACTGAGCTAATTTTTACTTTTACTTTTTACTCTAAAGTAAGTTACTTTTAAAAGATCTGGTGGTCCATTTGGTGCCATCTACTGGACCCTTAAGGCCCCCAGACCTCACTTTTAGAACCCCTGCTATAATTGAATAAAGGATTGTCTGTTGCTAGAAAGATGTATGGGAAATGCTTTACAACTATGCTTTACGCTATGTTTCACCAGGGCTGTGTTTTTGATGCCTTTAAAGTGTCCATGCATGTGGTGTGTGTGTGTGTGTGTGTGTGTGTGTGTGTGTGTGTGTGTGTGTGTGAGAGAGAGAAAGAGAGAGAGCGGGAGTGTGTGTGTAGCAGTATTAGAATAACTCTCAGATATTAGGCCCTGTCATGTTCGGTAAATAGCCATTCATCACACATGCCTTTCCCTGTGATGGTACCCACAAGATCCAATCCATTAGCCATACACTGGGTGTCCACTCTGTGTGTGTGTGTGTGTGTGTGTGTGTGTGTGTGTGTGTGTGTGTGTGTGTGTGTGTGTGTGTCTGTGTGCATGCATGTTTCATGCATAATTTATTATAATGCTTAAGGAGTTGTGACATATGAGAAAGTGCATTTGAAAGAGAGGGGGAGAAAAGTTGTAAAGAGAGAATGCATCAATTCAATAATATTTACATTATAATCAATTATATAGAAGCAATGAGTGTGTGCTCATGATGCATGAAGTGCATGAGGCTCAAAGTGACCGAATACAGCTTCATAGAAACAGCATGTTTGTAATTGTGTGCGTGTGTGTGTGTGTGTAACAAGGCAGAGGATTGATGGATGATAAGCTGAATTGACAATGACATCGTACAGAGACACACTACCCCTCCCCATTTTCTCCCACTTTGAATACCCGCTCCCCTCTGCACTGCACTTGTCATCCCTGTTGGCATGGGGAGAGTGTAGGCAGACATGTGCCACATGTTGTCACCAGCCGCTTCTTTTCACCTGCCGGCCATTAGCTTCACCAGGACAGGCATGTAAACGAGTTCACGCTGTCCCCTCCAGTACCCTCGTCCACCACTCAAGCACCCCGACCAAACAATAGGGGTCGCTAGAGCAGTGACATTGCAATTATCACAGAATGCTGATGTTAGTTCATACTGCAAAACCCAGAATTACCTATCACTATGCATTTTATTTGAACATTTAATGCCAACATTGGTTAGGCAACGGAAAAATGTATAGGGATTGGAGTTACAGGAAGCCATTCAGTTGTCAAGCATTCAAGTTGGAGGTATCTAATTAGCTGCTCAGCTGCAGCACATTGAACAAATGTACCAGCAAATGTCACTTAGGTTCAGTTAGATGCTGCTGTGGTTCCTACTCACCAGTACCACTGACAAAACGCTGTAATATAGGCTGTACCCTGTCTGTTGTTCTACTGCCGGAGCTCAGCCTTCCAGCTGCTGTCAAACAAACACAGACAAGCACCTCCAGCTGCCTGAAACATTTCTGATATTTCCCAAAAGACCTCTTTTTGTTCATTTTAATAATAAAAAACAATTGAGGGGCACCACGGTACCTCACCTAGTAGAGTATGTGTCCCATGTTCTAAGGCTGAGTCCCAATTTATGTCTATGTATGGCCATCACAGTCCACTAAAGGCATAAAAACCCCTCAAAGTAAAAAAAAATGGTTGATTAAATGTTTAAATGTGTGATTTCATTTGGGTTTTAAAACTTGTTTGAGATGTTTGATCAATCACAGTCAGCATTAAGTCTGTACAAAGTTTTTGGCAGTTACGTTATCATTGCATGGTAATGCAGTTCAAGTGTAGGCACTAGGCAGATTTGAAAAGTCTGCACCGGGTTCGCAGGAATGATAATATTACATTGACAAAACTGAATGTAGACTCGATGTTCACTGTTTGATTTGATTGATTACACAAAGTTTCAAGAGTCTACTTATAGATTTTAAGAGTGTTTGAAAAAGCCAATGGACGTGGGTAAAAATGCATCGCACTTCTAAAACACTGCAGCAAAATCACTAACTGTAACGCAAAGATGATTTGGAGTAAATAGGCTAAAACCTGCAAAACCATTGGTATGTTTCTTTAAGTTCCTGATGCACTCAAATGGATGCAGAAATCGACAGCGAGGAGGACAGCGGAAGCACACAGTATTCTGTATAGACCTCACTGAGTGTTTGCAGATGTGATGTGTTGACTGTCCATGCTATCATTCATTTCTCTTGCGAATCTATCTCATGTCCCTCATGGTTACATGGAAAGTTTAATTCAGACTTTCCTTTCTACCTTGCTGTGTAAAGGGCTCACTTCTTACTGCATTGGCACAGAACATGAATCTAACACTTCAGAATGACCTGATATGAAAATTATTCCACAGTTAAACACACAACCCAAACACACAACTAAGGCAGAGGTATCGCCACAGGGATTTGAACACCAGATCTCTGCAGTGGTATGGAAGAATTTTATCTCTGCACCACCCATGCATCCCTCCTCCCTATATTCTTCTCATTGTCCTTTCCTTTCCCCCAAAAAACATAATACTTTAACACACTCACAACCCATCAGCCACTCCCTCATGATTGGTATTACTACCTCTCACAGTCTGAGATACCCTCTACTCATCTCTCTGTTTACCTGCAAACACTAAACTTCTTATTTCTTTATTTCTTTCTTTTTTCTTCTTTCCTTCTTATCTACATACAGCACTCCCATAAGGCGAGGGAAAGCTTGTTAAAGACATCAGTGCTGAAGTTTGCTATTCTCAGAGGAGATAACAGGGATCAATTTTCACAGATCGCCTTCACAGCTTTCAGCAAGTTCACTGCGCCGAGTCACTGAAAACACACACACAGACAGACACGCACAAGGGCTTGCAAACTCACACTGGGACAGGATCCAAAAAACAATTTATCAGTCAGTCTCTCTATCTAAAGGCTTGGATACTGCCTACAGGCTACATGTAGAGTACATCAGCAGAAGAAAAGGAGAATGCAAACAGCTGAAAAAATATTTTGTGTGTCTGAGTTAGTCTGGTTGCTTTTGTTGCATGACATAACTGCATGTACATTCTGTGAATCCAGTGTATTGTAGGTCTTTGTGTTGAAAATGTCTAATTAGGTGTATAATATATATAATATATTATGATATACATCATATATATCATATATGTAAGTATGAATGAGAACACAGTGGGATGTAAGTGCATACAAGTTATATTTTGGCAGCTGCTTGTAATACGATAGCTTGTTATTCCTTTAAAATTTCCATAGAGGATCAGCTGATGCCCTCTGTGCTGTAGGTGTGTGTGTGTTTCTTCAGTTTGGTGTGGTGGCGAAGGACATAAATTCTCCATGTCCTTCTGTAATAATATAAAGTTTTACATCAATTTAGACTGACACAAGCTAAGTTATGGTGATTGCCACACCTCTCCATGCCCAGCTGATGCTCAGCTCCTTGCTCCTGTCTCCATTGATCCATCCAAAGCTGTGAGTCACCCGGGGACATCGTCTCCCTGAGGGATGACTATCACCAATCAATCCAACAACTTTAGCTGACAAACAACAGAACGAGACAAAGCGGGGAAAAATGTGGCAAAAAAGCTATTTTGTCATTCTCTGCTGTTGTAATCGTGGATTCAATTTCCTATCGCTCTCTCGACTTACAGCCCTCCCCTGTCTCATTTCTATTTTTATCGACAGGTGACCTGTAACTGGTTGGAAAGAGGGAGGGGAGCAGAACAAATGGAAAGGGAACAGAGGGAGAGAGGATGAAAGAGACAGAGCAGGACCCATGAGATTCCTCGTGCACAATGGGAAGCCCTTGCTCTGCCGGCTTTTGATTTGAAAAGAATAAAGGGGACTTTGCCTAAAGAGGGTCAACGGGATCTTGACATCATTTCAGTGTTTTGCCCTCTAGTGGGGGTCCACCCTTCTGTCTCGGTAGGAGTGGTCATGGCTGTACACTAAGCATAGAATAAAGTCATCTCTTTCTCTCTACGCCCTTTTGCTACTTCTTACCTAGTCACAGGCCGTTGCCATGGAGAAGACATACTCACTAACTGCCCACTATGATGAGTTCCAGGAAGTGAAATATGGCGGCCGTTATAGCAGTGACATCCTCAGCAATGGCATGACCCTTCATCTGGGAGGCAGCCTGGACCGTCACGTGGGGCGTACCCGAGGAGGGACCTGGTCCAACGGTCGAAACAAAGATCCAAGCAGCACCAGCAGCAGTGGAGGGCTTCCTCGATGGAGCCGGAGGGAGATCTGCCTCCTCTCTGCACTGGTCTTTGCGGCAGGAATGTGCGTTATCTTGGGCAGCATGCTGGCTCTCAAGTACATTTCCCTGGACGCCCAGCAGGACCCACAGTGTCGACAGGACTGCCAACGCAAACGCTCCCTGCTGCGGGCGGCACGCTTTGTTCAGGCCAATATTGACCCAACAATCCAGCCCTGCCAGGATTTCTACTCCTTCGCCTGTGGTGGTTGGCTGAGGCGCCACGGCATCCCAGAGGACAAGCTCAGTTACGGAATCATCACCGCCATAGGAGAGCACAATGAGGAGAAACTACAGCGCCTCCTTCTGGAGCCCATACGGAGACGTGGGTCCAACTCAGCAGAGCGCAAGGTCAAGGAGTTCTATCGATCCTGCGTCAATATCCAGGAGATCGACAAGCTGGGCTCTGACCCCATGACAGAGGTGATAGACAGCTGTGGGGGGTGGGATCTGGTGGGGGCTCCTCCCGGTGCTGCTGGGTGGGAGAGAGAGGGTGCCCCACAGAGGCCGGACTTCAATGAGCTGCTGTACAGGACCCAGGGGGTGTACAGCACTGCCGTCTTCTTCTCCCTCACTGTCAACGTGGACGACAAAAACTCCTCCAGGAATGCAATCAGGGTAGGTAAAAGGATGTTGGAACTGAGTGAACATTTGTGAAAGAATGCCATGTTCCAATCTTCAGAAACATCACAGTCACAGGACACTAATGACATTGACTCATTAGGTGCACCATCAGCAAGGACATGGAGGTCCAGTGTGTATCATTTAGGTGGATCTATTAGCAGAAATGGAATATAATATTCATAGGTATTAATTTAATGTTCCTTTAAATTAGAGTGAATAAACTTGAGCACAGAAGTTCATTCTCGACCTTGGGAACACTTCTGTGATGAGATATTCTAAAGTCCAGGCTCAATTGCTGGGCTTTTCCTGAGCTTTTGAGTGTTTCTCGCAAACCTTCTTCAGCATATCGAAATTGCTCAGTTGTCTCCACACGTATACAACCACCTGTTACCACGTGACTGAAGCTTTGCACTTCGGCCACGTGATGACGCCTGAACAAGTTCCATTTGCTGGCACTGAGATATGGATGAAAGCTCCGGAAAAAAGCTAGTAGATGAACCTTGAAGTTTACTAGAACAGCTTTTACTGAAGGAGGTTTGCAACATCTGCTCTGATACACAGTTTGATAAAAAGTAATAATAACCAAAACATGCTTATCAGGGGAAATATCCAATATTGTCACTGGCACCACAGCAGCTGTGTTCAGCTTTGTGACAATGCATTTTTCAGATAATCAAATAGGCTTTAGAGTGGTTTGTTTGGCTTAAGAAAGTAGGAGAATTTTCTAAACCCATTAAGGAATACTTAATCCTTCAGTTTATCTCAAAAATTCGAAATCAACACGTTTGTGGATGCATGGTTTGAATTGGACAACAACGATATTAAAGTTGAGTAACATTAGCCAGCCATATCTGAGATTTAATAAAAGATGAATATCAGTCCAGCACACAGAATGACGTACGTGTGGGCATTATTTATTAAATGCCATTAATAATTCATTCAGTGTGTTGAGTGGCTTGTGAATGCTGGCATTATAACAGATTATTGAAATATTAAAAACTCCTTTGAATATGCATCTGTTGCGAGCTTAGCAACACATGTGACTACATACCAGAAAAAATGTAATTACTGCATTAGTGTGTGTGTGTGTGTGTGTGTGTGTGTGTGTGTGTGTGTGTGTGTGTGTGTGTGTGCACAGATTGATCAGGAGGGGCTCACGCTGCCTGAGAGAAGTCTCTACCTGGGACAGGATGAGGACAGCGTAAAGGTAAACATGCTTCTTTACCTCTTTAACACCGCCCCACCATTTACCTCTCTCATCATCCCTTCTACATCCTCCTTTTTCCCCCAAAGACCACGTATTTATCTAACCTCCCCCCGTGGTTCCCTTCTTTCCATTCCATCATTTTCTCTCTTAACCTCACTTCCTGATGCCTCCATCCACACTTCGTCCTCCCTTCTTCTCCATCCTACCTTCACATACATCACCTTTTCTTTTCTTCTTTGCGTTTCCTTTACTTCATACTCTACCCTTTTTCCTTTCTAACCTCCCCTCCCACTGCCCTCCTTCCATTCTCTCCTCCTCCATCTGCCCTATTGACTCCTCTCTCTCTCCTCTTCATCAATCCACCTGTTTTCCTCTGTCACCCACTGTGCTTTTGTTATCCTGTCCACTTTGCCACATGTCACCCCCGTCATCGGGCCATTACTGATGATGTCGCAGCTCCTCCCGTCTATTAGTTCTGATGTTGTTGTGCTTCCCAGATCCTGGCGGCGTACAAGGCCCTGATGGAGCGCTTGCTGAGCATGCTGGGAGCTCACAACGCCACGCAGAAGTCCAAGGAGATTATACAGCTGGAGACCCGTCTGGCCAATGTGAGCTGATTGCCCATGCACGTGTATGTGTGCATCTGTATGTGTGTGTGTGTGTGTGTGTGTGTGTGTGTGTGTGTGTGTGTGTGTGTGTGTGTGTGTGTGTGTGTGTGTAGTGTTGAGTGAAATCTCCTCTCGTTGCAGATCACTGTGTCAGAATATGATGACCAAAGAAAGGACATCAGCACCATGTATAACCGCATCACCCTCAGGCAGCTACAGCGCATCGCTCCCAATGTGAGTACTGCACACACACACACACACACACACACACACACACACACACACACATACACACCCATTATATACACGTTTGGTTTTAGGTCAAAGCAAACGTGATGGATTAAGATTTGAACTCCAACTGAGCATTTTAAGTAGTGTGGCAAATGTGGTAGCGCACAGGGGGAAGGTGTGTGTGTGTGTTTGGGGAGGGAGGGAGTGGTGAAGCACTTTACACACATACACACACACATATAGAGGCCTAAGTGACTCACAAAGCTGTCCGCCCTGCAGGGGTAGACGGAGAGGTTTAGGGATAGAGGGAAAGATGCAGGGAGATGAAAAGGAGAGAATGAGGAGACATGGGGGGGGGGGTGAAAGAAATGACGGAGGGAGAGGAAAAGGAAAGACAAAGGAGACACAGGCAGGGAGGAGAAGGAAAAGGCTCTCCTCTGAAGCAGCGGGAACACTGACAGAGAATCCTCAAGATGCTTCATGGTCGAGGGAGGGAAGGAGGAGAGATGGAATCTGGGCATGTAATGAGAGGAAGATAAAGAGTTTGATTTTTAGCTTCTCGACCAAAAAAACTACACACAGAAAAAAGGGGCAGCGTGGAAAAAAAATGAGGGGGAATAAAACGGGTGTGAGGGCTGCTGACAAGAAAAAACATGGACTGAAGTAGATTATAGGATAGAGATTCACGCAGGAAAAAGACGCAGCTATATGGCTTCAGTTCACCAAAAGAAACACTGTTTGCAAGAAGCAAAGTTAAATACAAAGAGTAACATGATGACATTTAAAGTAGAATAGATTACTGCTGATGGTCCAAGGCAGTTGGTCTCAACCTTTGTGGCTTGTGACAACACACAATCTCTTGTCATAGGTTTCATCACAACAGTTCAACCAAAGAGTGATGTTTCTTTTTTTTTTGAGGGGTCTCAGTCTCTTTAATTAACATTTACTTAACCCTCTGACAAGCTCAAAATTAAAATCATATATATCTATAAGGGTGAGATGTGCAGAGAAAGTGCAATTGACAGTGAACAGACAGCTGAGTGAATCTGCCTGGCATGAATACTGCCCTCCAAATTTGTACAAACTATGAATACAGGATAATCAATGCATTTAAACTCTGCCTCATTTATTTAATGTCAAACAAACAACAGAGTAGATTTACACATCCGGCCACAGGTCTTACATTAATGGGTCACAGCTGACTTACAGAAAGGCTTGTGGTCAGGTCACAATTAGGCCTTGTACAGTTCAGTACCGGGTCAGTTTGTGGTTGTGAGGCAGGTACAGGTTTGTAGGGCTCTGGAGATTTTCAGTCATTTCATTTTGTTGTTTTTATAGCATGTTGGATGTTTAGAATTGTGTGAATTGAGTGGCAGGCACAGGAGGCACAGGCGCACTCTGATTTGGAAGCTGATAGCGTTTGTCACACACTAGCTAAAACTATCATCAAAAATGAAACCCCCACACTGAGAACCACCGCTTTAAAGCAGTCCTGGCATGGTTTCATTTTTTTGAAAGTGGAAAAGGGAGAAAAAACAAACTCCTTAAAAAGTAACACCGTATCATTCCTCCTCTCGCTATAGCTTCACTGGAAACGCCTGCTGGACAGAATCTTCCACGACAACTTCTCAGAGGACGAAGAGATCGTGGTGCTCGCCACCGATTACATCCAGAAAGTCTCCGACATCATCAAGACCACTTCGAAGAGGTAAAGAAAGAGAAAACGGGTGGATTGGTGGGGGTTGAGGGTTGGTGGAGTGGTGAGGGACGAGGGGAGAGAAAGATGAGGGCACTGAGGTGTATGGAAAATCGATGAAATTAGACGCAGGAATTTTTTAGTCGGTACTTTTTGAGCATGAGTAAGCGCTTTTGTTTGAGGTTGTTTGGGTGTGTATTGCCTTTGGTTTAGGCCTGTCACTATAGTTAGGGCTACAACGCAGTGTCACGAGGCGTATGGATTGGTTTTTGAATGCTGCTGTGCATGTATTTCTGTGGGCATTTGTGTGTGTGTGTGTGTGTGTGTGTGTGTATGTGTGTTTGAGGTGAGTCACTGTTGGGTGAACTTCCAGTTCTACTGCAGCTGATTATTATTGATCCACACCCACACCTTTCTACCACCTGCAGACTCAGACAGACGCACGTGGACGGCCCACACACACACACACACACACACACACACACACACACACACACACACTCTTTTCTTCTTCTTGACAGACTCCAGGGGAGGCCTTAGAGGGCTGCTGCACGTCAGGATGTATGTCACAGCAACTGACAGCTCGCCAATAGTCACTGTGCTCTACACAAATACACAACAGCACTCAGCCCTCATGTATGGCTGACTGGCCAGATGACTGGCGGGTGGATTACTTGCTTGTCATTTATGTCTGAGACTGGATACATGTCTGTCTGTCTGTCTGTCTGTCTGTCTGTATAGCAGCATAACCTATTCAGATATTTTTGTAATTTCATGACTCACCAGTTCATGACATCACGGTACCTTCATTGTTGGTCATTTTATTACCTCATCTCACCATTTCAGATTTACCACCATGCTGTAAGTCCAAGGCTTTCACACTGCTGTAGTGTTGATAAATCCTACACATTATATGTAATCAATGAGTAAAAATGCCATTTATTAACTTTATAAGAGGTGGATGACATTACCAAATTGACAAAGTTCAGATTTTTAATATAAGGTCGTATCACAGGTTCTTTGTGAAATGTGTGTCTGTGAAATCAGTTACCTCAGAATTCCTACTGTGAACAAATGAGACGATGGTGGAGATGAATGGTTTTCAGAGCGTTGGAAACGACAATGGGCGTCAGGTGCAACAATCAATTGTTTGCTGTTGTAGTGGACGACAAGTGCACTGCATCTGGGATGTCTCACACAGTCAAAAAGGCTAGCATGTTAGAATTGTTTTACCCAGGACAAGTTTTTTTAGTTTTTTCTGAACACAAGACAGCCAGTGCCATGCACATCTCCACTGTTGGTTGACATTTTACTGTTGTGAAATGGTTGCAGTTTGCATAGGTTTATGCGCAAAAACTACTTGGTTAGGATTGGTAGAAAAACATTACAAGTTAGGTTACGTACCTGACACAACTTAAGTAGTAGGGATAAGCCAGTAAACAATTATCTGTACCTGGATCTGTTTGATCAGCTTAATTATCTGTATTTGTATGGGCGGGGCTTGAAGCTGATATGGGTGGTCCTTAAACTGACTTACTGAAAATGGGATGTGTTGATCAGAAGTAGCTATATTTATTAGAAATCTATTTGCAGAACAGCCTCAGAATTGAAGGACAATGTTTTTGATCATGAGAGCTTTTTTTATATAAAAGTTGCCATATTTACAAACACACATTATACATACAAGTACATTATCTGTACTGAGTACTCGCTCAAGTGCTTAACATGGACCCAGGCTACTGTACAGTATAACTCTCCACCGCCCGTCTATCCTTCAGGTTAACCAATCAGTGCCTGAACCTGTAAGTGACTAGTCCTCTCAATTTGCCCCAGTGCTGAGGACAGAATCAGAAAAAGATCAAGACATATCCAGCAGCTAGAGCCAAACTTTTCACTAACAGGTGTTGCAACAGTGCTGCGTACAGATGTTTGAGGGAAGGTGTCCTGCCTACAAAAAGAACAGGATTAGAGCAAAGCTGTGCTTGGATGTGGGTTTACCAGCAATCCTTTCTGCACAACAAAGAACTGGTGTGACACTAACATCGGTCTGGTCTAAATGTCCACTATGGACCCTAACCCTAACCCTTATATATTTTATATATATATATATATATATATATATATATATATATATATATACACACAAATGCTCTTACCTCAGTTTATTGCCTTACTTTTACTATTTTTTCTTTCTCCATTCACATTTTTATAGGATACAAATAAATGTTATTCTGCACTTCAGTGTTTTATACTGCTAACTTTTATCAGCCACAACAAAAGATAGGATCTTTCTTTTTGCAGGGATTTTGCTCAGCTCCCATCAGTGTAAACATCTCTTCCATATCAAATTTTCTACACTGTTTGGTGCTTCATTTTTCCTTATCTCTTTCATCTGGTCTCCTGCTGCTCTCCCGTCTTTGTGAAATGTCCTTTTTAATCACAACACTCCAACATGCATGTGTATTGAGTTAGGGGTGTATCATTAAGGGATTCATAATCCTCTTTGTAAAGGTACAGCTACCTTCGCCACTGTCACATCCATTAGCCCAAGTTCACTTCTCCTCAGGTTCTCTTCCCTTGTTGTGTACCAATCTTCTCTTTGAGCTGCCTGTCCATCCATCCCCCCTGATGGCTTTAGTAATAGATTCTACACTAAGTTTCAATCATCCTCCCTCCCTGTCTTTTGTTCCCTCCACCTGTGTCTATCTGACATCCTGTCTTCTCTCGTTTTGATCACACGTTCACTCAGTCAGCTATAACGTTTGGCTGATATGGGCTTTAGTGTGGAGCTGCACTCTGAAAGTTCAAATCAACTTCTTATTTCTGAGTTCTATTATTACTATCTAGTGCTGCTAGTGCAGAATCAAATGCCAGTCTCATCTTAAGCATGTGATGACAAAATAGGCTCTATTTATCTTGGTAAACATGCATCATTTTAGCTTCTATTGGTTAAAATGAACAACTTGTGTTCAACAAAATGACCCACTGAAACATGTGGCCAGGCTCAGGTCTCCCACCCGAGACTTTGTGACAAGAGTGGCTATTGTGTAGAATATCAGGAAGAGGTCAGAATAATATCTTTTAAAGTACACTAGCTACTGTGCACACTGATGAGCTCAAGTGTATGGAAGCCAATTTCTGCCAAGAAGGAGGAAGAAAAAAAAAGAAAAGTTGGTAATGATAAAAATAACAACACTTACAGTGAATCAAAAATAAATAAATCAGAAAATAATGATAAAGTCCAAATTTTGACTTAGAAAGGCAAAGATGTCTTTTGATTTAAGTCAATGCTTAATTTGGAAATAGTAGGTCTAAGGTGAACAAGACAAAATTATGAGAATTATAGATCAAAACTGAAATTCACCAAGTCAAACGAATCGGATACTCAGTCACAATGTTGTGTGCACGGAGTTTGCATTTATCATTCATTCAAGTTGAAGCAGATTTAAGAGGTGATTGAAGTTCCAAAAACACTGAATCCAACGATTCCCATAATGCAACTCAATAGTCTTTCGCTAAACCCTCCCTGCCTGGTAAATGCCCACATATTTTAAACACTACGTTCACCCAAGCACATACCACAGCCTCATGACATCATCAGGGTTATTTGGTCATACATGGAGAGCCTCAAAGGACGTTACAACTGTTTTCACGTGATGAGTAGTACTCCTGACAAGTAAATGAATCTGTGTAAAATTGGTAGAGAGATTGGTAATTCTGACTTAAAAAGTTACTTTTACTAATTTGAGAGTAACAATTAATAAAACCTTTAGTCTATTATTTTTTCTTCTCTTTTCTCTTCCATACAATGACAGTGGGAGGTAGCAGTTTGAACTTTTAAGATTTCCTCTCTCTCAGTCTAACTTTCTGACTCAGTGTCTTTCCTTCTTTCTCATCCTCCCCTCACCAAACTCTTGTCTCTTCAGTCCCCTGCTCCCTAGCTCTCTCCATCTGTCTGCTTCTCCTTCTCCTCCATCGCTACAGCTCTCCTTCTCAACTTTGCATGATAACCCTGTCTTTCTCCCAATTCTGCCTCAATCCCCCAACACCACTCCCTATTCTCTCCATCTGCACCTCTTCCATTGTTTTCTATCCATCTCTGCCTCTGTCACTTCTGTACCTCCTGTCATCCTCCTCCTCACCTGCTCCTCATCCCTTCCCTCTTCTCTCTCCTGCAATACGTTTTCTTTTTATGCTTTCTCATTCTCCATCTTTCTCCCACCTCCAGTCTGTGTCCAGGTTCCCCAGGAAGGTCTTCATTTGGGTTTAAACAAAGGTTGGCATTGCTAGTTCATACACACACACACACACACACACACACACACACACACACACACACACACACACACACACACAGTTATACACATTCAAATGGAGGAAAAGATCTCTGCCATTTCCTGGGGGGTGTTGCTCATTAGTATAGCTCATGAGAAAGGTCCCGGTTCCTTACATCAAGGGATCTCTCCACCGCTACCTATTAATCACCAGTCACACAGCTTGTTGCAACACCCATGCACACAAATAAATACAGACACCAGGAAACTGAAGTTAGCACTCACAGTGGGAAAATCCTGTCAGAAAAAAATCCACTTCCTTCTTTTACTCCTCCTGTGAGGTAAAATGTGTTAATGTCCTTACTCTTCCTAGTAACAGATTACCACAAACTGCTGCTTTGTTTCAAAATCATGCTAGTGTCTCTGTGAGGCTGTACTTACAAGCACTACATGTGGAACATTTTGACTTGTCTTCCAGTATTGAGTAATACAGCTCCAAAGAAGATCTGATCATCTGGTTTGATGGTTTATTAACATAAAAATGTAGGTTTGAAATTAAATCCAACTGAGCTTCTCTTGAAGAGAGGAACATTTGAAAACATCCAACCCGTTCTTCCACTCTTAGCTTAGTTGACTTTCTTCTATAGTTTCGTTCTACTAGCACAGTGGGTTATCTTACTAATGTGCAGTAAAAACGTATCAATATACAAAAGTTTTGCACATTTAGCGCTAAACACA